ATCTACGAAAACATAACAATATAGTAAGCAAACCCCTCTTTTGATTGATTCATTGTCTATCTGGGAATGTCATAGCTGATTCCATTCATATAATTTAAGTTAAAATCTTTACTTTATAGAGCTTCATCTATGACGGAGGGAGCTTCATTCACTTCATTTCAGGTAATGATTTTCCTAGTTTGTTGCTATTACATTACAAGACATGATTTTAAGTCAGCAATTACTATGTAGATATATGTATCATGTAATCAAGAGGTTGTTGTCTTGTTGATATGAACACATATTGCTCTGTTTCTCCTCATCTGAACTGTTTCAATTCAATTCAATTCAACCATTTTACTTTCATTCTTCCACTGAATGGAACTGAAACTGGATTAGGATTGTGGTGGGGTGGGGGCCATGAGAGCAGGTTGGCTATGTTTATGGCAGAGCCCGACAAGCTTCATGTTCAACCACACGCCTTGAATGAATTCATTTGACAATGTAATAAAAGACAAGAAAGTTTTGTCCTTCCGAGAGATTTCCACACCAAGGAATGTTTCGTTTCTCTCTCCAACCGATAGTAGGCCTATCTAGCCGAGAAAAACACTAATTAGGTCACTCGATCCAGAGATCAAAGGATTGTATTTCTTATGTAGGCCTATCTAGTTTAGTTGATAGAACGCAAGACTCTTAACCTTGTGGTCGTGGGTTTGAGCTCCATTGTAGTAGGCCTAGCTCTAGAGCGTAAGGCTCATAACATTGTTGTTGTGGGTTTCAACCCATTCATTTTTTTATACATTAATTAGGTCACTCGATAAAGTAGTTGTTTTTATTATGTTGGCCCATCTACTCGATAAAGTAGAGCAAGACTCTTAACCTTGTGGTTATGTGTTCGAGCTCCTTCGTGGGTGAGTTTAATTTTATTGGAGAAAAATCACTAATTAGGTCACTCGATCGAGAGATCAAAGGATTGTATTTCTTATGTAGGCCTGCCTAGCTTAGATGGTAGAGCACATGGGTTTGAGCTGCACGGTGGGAAAATTTATTTTTATTTTTTAATTGTTGTAAGCTTTAGATCTTTTATGGGAGAAGAAGCACTAATTAGGTCACTCGATTAAGAGATCAAAGGATTGTTTTTTTTATATGGCCCGTTTAGCTTAGTTGGTAGGAAGCAAGGCTCTTAACCTTGTGGTTGTGGGTAGCCTCACGGTGGTTGAATCTCAAATTCTTTTGACTGGGTGAAGAACCATTAATTAGGTTGATTGTGTTTTTTATGTGGCTCGTCTAGCTTAGTTGTTAGAGCGCAAGAAGCACTAATTAGGTCACTCGATTAAGAGATCAAAGGGTTGTATTTTTATATGGCCCGTCTAGTTGGTAGAGCACAAGGTTGTGGTCGTGGGTTCGAGCCCCACTGTGGGTGAATGCTTTAATTCTTTTGACTCAATAAGCATTAATTAGGTCGATTGTATTTTTTATGTGGCCTGGCTAGCTTAGTTGTTAGAGTAAGGGGTTCAAGCCCCATTATAAGCTCTAAAGCCTTCGATCGAAAAAGAAGCACTAATTAGGTCACTCAATTAAGAGATCAAATGATTGTTTTCTTTTATATGGCCTGTCTAGCTTAGTTGGTAGAGCGCAAGAAGCACTTATTAGGTCACTTGATTTAGAGATCAAAAGGTTGTATTTTTATATGGCTCGTCTAGCTCAGTTGGTAGAGCGCAAGGCTCTTAACCTTGTGGTCGTGGGTTCGAGTTCCACGGTGGGCGAAATGCTCAAATACTTTTGACTGGTGAAGAAGTGTATTAATTAGGTTGATTGTGTTTTTTTATTGTGGCTCGTCTAGCTTAGTTGTTAGAGTGCAAGAAGCACTGATTAGGACACTCGATTATGAGATCAAAAGGTTGTATTTTTATATGGCCCGTCTAGCTCAGTTGGTAGAGCGCAAGGTCGCTCAAATACTTTTGACTGATGAAAAAGTGTATTAATTAGGTTGATTGTGTTTTTTATTGTGGCCCGTCTAGCTTAATTGTTAGAGTGCAAGAAGCACTAATTAGATTACTCGATTAAGAGATCAAAAGGTTGTATTTTTATATTGCTCGTCTAGCTCAATTGGTAGAGCGCAAGGCTCTTAACCTTGTGGTCGTGGGTTTGAGCCCCACGGTGGGCGAATGCTCAAATACTTTTGACTGGTGTGGCCTGTCTAGCTTAGTTGTTAGAGTGCAAGAAGCACTAATTAGGTTACTCGTTTAAGAGATCAAAAGGTTGTACTTTTATATGGCCCGTCTAGCTCAGTTGGTAGAGCGCAAGGCTCTTAACCTTGTGGTCGTGGGTTC